GAAACTGGGCAAACTCAGGGAGGCAGTGAAGGACAGGAAGGCCTGGCGCGATATGGGTCATGGGGTCACGAAGAGTCAGATATGACTTAATGACTGAACATCAACAAAATGTGAGTTCTTATCATATTCAATTCAAATGTTACATATGGTGTTTTGGGCTTCACAGTAATTCTAACGAATTTTGCTTTTAATAAAATGTGCATTGGATTATGATATTAATGCCTGAAAAACATCCTATAATTATTTAAATATGTAAGGAAATAAGAGAAGGGAAGGTATCAGCAAACTTTGGAAAGCTCCAAGGTTAACCAAAGTAACCCCCCCCCCAAAATAGGGAGGAAAGAGAAGTCCCACTAAAAACCATGCAATAACGATCGGTGATGTTCAATGGCTATAGAATTCTTTGGTGATTTACAATATTTACATGATGGCCAAAGGTCTCTGGGTGGGCTATTATAAAAAGAAGTAAAACACAAAGCAAGTCAAAAGATAAGCTGAAGGTTGAGATAGATGTTAATGTAGGGAAAAGGAAACAAAGTTACGGTAATGAAATGTACTACTGGCACAGGAGTGTTTTGTTGATAGTCAGCTTATTTGTAGTAATAATAATTTTAAAATGCATTTGGTAAACGTGCTGATGAGTTTTCATAAGTTACAAAAATATTATTACAGAAAAAGAGGAAGAATATTACAGTGAAAAACTTTAGAGCAGTCAGTGTTTAAAAACAATGACTAATAGACACCCATCTATTGTGTAGACAGGTGAACAGCCATTCTGCACTGTATACCATGATTTTGGACAAACTCTCTAATTAATTAAAGTTAAGGCCACTATTAAGGCCTACCTTGTGGCAGTAACGGTGGTGAAGTGACAATATTCCTCCGCTCGTATTGCTTCCGCAGATTGCCACCCTGCAGCCCTGTTTCAGGTGATATGAGCCCTCTTGGGTAAAGGGAGCCTGGAAATCTTTTTGCAGGGCCATGCAGAGGAATTTGCTCAGCATCTGTTGCATAAAATCACTCGGATCCATTCACAGCTGGACGCTGGCTTTGCTGCAGGTACAGGGGAGATGCCTAGGGTGGAGTCTTGCCCGGTTATCTGGGAACAGTTTGAACCTGTTGGATCTGAGGAAGTGGACAGGGTCCTTAGGACTGTGAGCTTGGCCACCTGCTCCTTAGATCCATGCCATTCCTGGGTTGTGAAAGTGGCTCATGGGTTGTCATGTGGGTGGGTTCTAGAGGTGGTGAATTCTTCTTTGAGTGAGGAGGTTGTTCCTTCGCCTCTTAAGGAGGCTTTGGTCTGCGCCCTCCTCAAAAAGCCATCACTGGACCACACAATACTGGACAATTTGCATCCAGTATCTAATCTCCCCTTTTTTGGAAAGGTGATTGAGAAGGTGGTTGCACAGCAGCTTCAGAGGACCTTGGATGAAGTGGATTATCTGGAACCTTTTCAGTCAGGGTTCAGACCTGGGTATGATACAGAAATGGCATTGGTTATGCTTTTGAATGATCTCTGTTGTGGGCAAGATGGTGGTTGTACATCCATCCTTGCCTTACTTGACCTCTTGGCGGTCTTTGATATCATCGACTATGGTATCCTTCTGGATTGACTCAGAGGATTGGGGATGGGAGGCACAGTGTTGTGCTGGTTCTCCTCCTTTCTATGGGGTTGGTTCCAGTCGGTGGTGATTGGGAAGGAAAGATCCTGCCCTCGGCTCCTACTAGGAGGGGTGCCATAAGGATCAGTGCTCTCTCCTATTTAACATCTACATGAGACCGCTGGGTGAGCTCATCCATCACCATGGGGTGAGGTATCATCAGTATGCCGATGATACTCAATTGTACAGCTCCTCCCCTGGCGAATTAAGAGATGTTGGTGTCTGGAGGCCGTGAGGGTCTGAATGGGGAACAACAGGCTTCAACCGAATCCTGGCAAGATTGAGTTGCTTCTAGGACTTTACCATCTTTGGTTCTGGACGGAGTCGCACTGTCCCAAACAGTCCCTTTTTGCAATATGGGAGTCCTCACGGACTTGTGACTCCTGTTTAATGAGCAGGTGGCAGTTGTGCTTAGGAGGGCCTTTGCACAACTTCGTATTGTGCACCAGTTGTGTCCGTTTCTGGATCAGGGGACTTTCTCATGGTCACTCATGCCCTGTTAGACTACAGCAATGTACTCTTGTTAGACTACAGCAATGTACTCTTATCTGGAAACTTCAGCTGGTGTGAGCAGTTATGTGTGCTTCACATCACACCTCTGCTTCATGAGCTGCATTGGTTACCAGTTTGTTTCTGGGTCCGATTCAAGGTGCTGGTGTTGACCTTTAAAGCCCTTCATGGCATGGGACTAGGTTACTTGAGGGACTGCCTCTCTCCGATTTCATCTGCCCATCCTACCAGCAGAGAGGGCATATTATGGGTTCCAACGTCTAGGGAGCTACATTTGGCAGGCTCTCGGTGGAGAGCCTTTTCTGCTGTGGCGCCCATGCTGTGGAATCTTCTTCCCCTTAAGGTGAGGTTGGCCTTGTCATTGTAGAGCTTCTGGAGGTTCCTTAAGACTTGGCTGTGCCAGCAGGCTTGGGGACTCCAGGGGACAGGTGATCTAGTGAGGTGGCTCCATTATTTTTAACATCCCTTTGCCTATTATTTTCTGTTTTAGTTTTTTATATTTTTTATACTTTTTAATTTATTTATCGACTGTATTTTAACCCTGTTATATGCCACCCATAGTCACTTGGAAAAGTGAGATAGACAGCAAACAAACAAACAAACAAATAGTTAATTGGTTCTGCAGTTCTCTGAATTACCTGTTTAGAAATGTAGCTGACATCCTCAACCACAATTATCTTGAGATTAATTTCCTGGCGTCCTTAATGAAATATTACAACACTTATTACTGAGTTATTATGAGCTGCTTATGCATATGCCTCTTCAGAGCTTCTTGATTACATAAGTTTGGTATCAAATAATATTATAAGGGAAATAATTTTAGGGACACAACTGAGTATTAAATCTCTTAAACTCTATATTTTGAACTGTTCCTTCCAGTATATCCACTGAACCTATGTATATCTGAGTTAATTATTTTTGTTCAGTGGCAGAAACAATGGCTCTAACTTTATACATTACACATTATCATGTACACTACATTTACACCCTATATCATGCCCTCCTATTCATATTTATTTAGAAGTTGCAGTGTGTTTGGTAGACTTTCTCTCAGATAAGTATGCTTTAGTGTTGAGCAATTTGTAACAGAAATTTTAGACCTAAAATAAAAACTCTTATTTTATATTTTTCCCCTATCAGAGACAACAGAAATTTAAAACTACTACTGTATAATTTAAAAGATAATTATCCTTAACAGTATTTGAGGAAACAGGTGGTTTATAGAAGCTATTTATTAATTTGTAATCAAACTCAATATTATTGTATGTCTCAAAGAGACCAGCAATAGTTCTTTTGCACATAGAAAAATAGGATGACTACTGTCACCCAGAATTCCATTCTTAGGGCAGATCACAAGCAGAAGTTACTTCAGAGATTAGTGTATAAAATGAGAACAATACGGTATGAATATATATTGCTAAATAGGCTTAGTTCTGTGCAATGTTCATTAATTTTATTTTAGTAGGTAAGTTTATTTTGATAATTCGTTGCAATTATCAAAGTGATCCTTAGTGCTTTTCATGTAGTAAACCCAGTGTTCTGTTCCGTAACACTTTTTTCTATTTATGGTTGGTTCTACAGTATCTCATCGGACTCCAGCTCAAACTGCGGTTGCAGCAGGGTTTGGCCTGCTGCCTTTCTTTCCAAACCAGCATGTAACTGGGCAAGCAGTGCCAAGGCAAAATAACACCCAAGAGAAGTTGCCGTCATCCCTGGGACTGACAGAAGGCACTGGCCCAGCATCTCAAGCATATCTACAGAGCTTAACAAATGTTGCTGCGGGAGGTCTACAGGGAGGACATCTCCAGCAACAGAGCCCGCCAAAGAGTACTGACTCCAGCATGGGTGTAAGGAAACTGGATTTAGCTTTTCTTATTTCTCTCTTGTACTTTACATTCGTTACGGTTGAGCCAGGGAGAAGCTTTGCAATTGCTTCATCAGCATTTCAGTCTTAATTGCAAAAAGCGTTTTAAAACAGATTTATTATTCTGTTTTAATATCATAATATCATAAATATTATTAATGATTAATATTTAATCATTATCCATTAAAAAGCATAAATGTAATGAAAAATGCTTCCTGTCATTTGCAACGAATTGCTCTATTTGCATTAGGATGCGGTATAGTTGAATACCACACAGATGAAATTTGCCTATCGTGCTAAGCCATAATGTGTTTTATGGTTTGCAAACCATATTGCTTAGATGCCATTGAAAAAGTCAGTTAAGGTTTACTCAGTGTATCTTGGTGAAATAAACCATGACCTAGCATGACATACAATGCCATCAAGATTAATTGCAGTTAATGTGAGAATTCGCTCTTAACCAAAATTTGAAACCTGAATAGCTTTACTTATGGCAGGAATGATTTAAGATTACTTTTATAAGCCTAGAGGTTTCTATACATTTATCTTTAAACTGGTATAATCCCAGAATTTAGAGCTTAGAAATACATTTTAAATCATGGTTTATCTTTGGTTAAATTATATACATAATTTGCATGTATGTGATTTACTGTAGAAGGCAACTGCTGAATAATATGTCTGTATTTCACTGATGTACAAAGTGCAAGCAGACCTGTGAAACTTTTCATTCTGCCTCTGTCTTCATTTTCAAGAAATATCACCTGCGATAAAAAGAAGGCGCACACAATTTTCATCAATTTAGGATGTATTCAATCAAATACACAAACTGTTTAAAATGTGGTTTTTGTTTTGTTTCATTCTAATAGCTTTTTATTGTTTATTGTTTCATACTAATAGCTTTTTATTCCCATTTTTCCTTCTCTCTCTGTCTTGTGTTCTGCCATACACAAACACAATATTTATTACATTCATCTGCACTGTTTTCTATCAGCAGTGTAATACAATGGTACCTCTACTTACGAACCCCCCTACTTACGAATTTTTCGAGATACGACCAGCTCCAGCCCCAAAAATTTACCTCTACTTACGAACGCACCACGACTTACGAACCGGATCCGCGGCCATTTTCCGCCCATTCCACGTGGTCCGTAGGTATTTTTCCGCCCATGCCACGTGGTCCGCAGGCATTTTTCCGCCCATGCCACGTGGTCTGCAGCCGTTTTTCCGCCCTGCTGCGTGGTCAGCGGCTGTTTTTCCGCCCCTGACGCATGGTCCGTGGACGCCGGAACGGATTAATGGTAATTACATTGAACCTTATGGGAAAATTTGCTTCGACTTGCGACCAACTCGACTTGCGATCAGAGTCATGGAACGGATTAAGTTCGTAAGTAGAGGTACCACTGTACTATGCATTTTGAGTTTGTCCCATTGAGTTGAGTGGATCCTACTTCCAAATTAATATTTTCAATTGCGGTTTCTATCTCTAGCCTAGGTACCAAGAATCTATTTCCTTTTGTACATCAAATTCTCCAGTTGCTAAGTACACTCTGCTCAACGTGGTAGGAAGGAAATTGTAAATGGATAAGCAAGTCCTCTTTCTTCCTAAAGCTAGTTTTTTTCCTGTTCACATAATGTTTGGAAGTAGGCTCTTTGTTGAAAGGAAGGAAGGAAGGAAGGAATTCCATGGAAAGAAGGAAGATGAAATGAAGAAGAGAGCAGCCTGCTAATGCTTTGTTCCAAGCAAAGGCTCAGCTTTGCTTTGTAATCATTTACAGACATTTTCCAAAGAGAAACATGATTTATACAACATCTCCAGTCTGTTTTCTGTTTATGTGTGGTGTCAGTTATCAGCACTTAATGAAGAGACTGTACTGATCTTCAGGTGGATAGAGTAGCAGAATTTAAGCCATCAAAGCAGTGTTTCAGCAGAAAGGATGATGTCTTAAACTTTAAGTAAATAATGTTTTAACCTCAAAAATCACATTAGTCACTTTTGAAATACCTTTTATTGCAAAGGATGGTAACTTTCTCCAGGATTAAGTATCACAGTGTATGACACTTATATCCCTATCCAGTTTTGCTTTTCCAATTCCTACTTCTGTCCAATTTCTTAGCCAAGATCAAAGCAGAATGGGCTAGGCATTGTTTTGGTACCTTTTTGCTGGCCAAGTTGTATGTAGCTGGCTTATCTTAGATCTCAGATTTGACTGTTGCTGGGTCAGACAGTTTATACAGACCCTTAGAAACACAGTCTCTTCCTTCACCCTAAGCGGACTCTGAAGAGGTTTTATCTCTAAAGCAGTCTCGTCAGTCCAAAAGAGTCCCTTTTGTACCTTACCATTTTATTTTATCTAAGATGGAGCAGTTATCTCTGTTTACAGTCATCCTTGATTGTGGCTCATCTGGAATTGCTTAACAGTTTTGGGCAAGTTCTGAAATTTGACAGTCTTCTGACAAAATGGCAAATATGGAATCTTTAGGTTCTCACTTCCTCTTGAGTTACATTTTAAGGGCGATAAACTATCTCATTTGGGGTGTATCACTTCTTACTTGGCAATTCAGTTGGATAATTTATGTGTTAACCAAGTCCATGTATGAGCAACATCAAACTGAGGGTTTTCTTTCTTTCTTGGAATAGGTCATTTACTCATATGTGATTGATGCTGACAGAACCATCACCACAGTTTTCTGTATTTTCCATTGTAACATATGATTTTTTTTTTATCTTGATCACTATTGTGTTTCAAAAACAATTCTCCCTTTTCTCCAAACACATCTTTCTCTTGCCACACTTAATACCAAGTATTATTTCTTCCTCATCTATATCTCAGGGCAGAGCTTTAGGCTTCTTCAGAGTTTTCAATGGATTACAATCTCCAAGAAGCAGGCACACCTTGAGCTCTCTTTAAGATGTGTGAAGGGCATCAAACTAATGCCTTGGCCACAGTGTTCAATTCAGCCATGAGTTAGTTTGTATTCCATATGTATTCCATATTCCATATACATACCTACCATGCTGTTCCCTTTCAGAGTGAGCAACATTATGCAGCATGCAAGAAAAAAGTAAGAACGTTCAGCAATGAAATTAAAGACAGAAGATAAGGGAAAAGAAAAAGATACGTAGCTAAATCTTGCTTATATCAACATCATTCACCATATCTCTCCATACTTTTCTATCCCTGCAAACTATTTTTGCTTCAACCACATCCATATACCACTTCATGCATTATCATTTATTTGTTTACCCTAACCACTACTCTCTTTTTAAGAGGCTCATCTAATCCCATCACAGCTTTCTTGAACTTCCCCTTCTCCTTCAACCCATTCACTCTTCCTTTGTATATTTGTTTTGTGAATTGATCCACATTCATTCTCTCTAAATGGTCAAACCACATCTTCTTTCATACTTACCTTTGAATTCAGTCTATATTCATTTATAACCTATTCAGTCTCAACCCTATTTCTTCTTGTTTTACACACATGCTGCATTTACATTTCTTTTATATTTCTTCTGATGTATCCGTAACTCACTTCCAAATAAACTTGTACGCTGTTCAACTCTCAGTGACTCTGGGTGCCTCACAACAATCAAAGAAATTACAATAAAATCAATAAAATGTAAAAAATAAAGATAAAATATGGCATACACACATGCATACAAACACACACATATTTACATACGTGCTGTAATAAAGAGGGCAGACCATCCAACCATTTTTGCTTCTCTCAACAAATACTCATTCTTTACAACAGACCGCATGCTATCCATTATCTTCCTGCCAGCATTCGTATGCTTTAAAATGTCAATTTTGACTCAGCTGAACCTTGATTCATCCAGAACAGCTTGATCAAACTTCCAAGCCACAATATGTTTGTTTTGTGCACACCTCTATTTTATAGCATCTTCCTCTTACCACTTTTTTGCAGCAGCAGTTATTCTTTTATATATTCGTTTTCTTTTACTTAGCTTACTTTTTAATACTTTCTGTTATAATTTTGCAAACTTTTTGTAATGTAAGCTTTTTCACTGTTTCAGGCAGTTTCCATTCCCTTTTTCCTCTTCTGTCTCTTTATGTAGCATTACTTAACCTTAGTGCCATATCAAATTGGTGTATCTCCCTCTCCCTGTATATATAGACATTGTTTTGATATGGCCCCACAGACAGTATAGTTATTTTCCTTTCAGTAGTTCGGCAAATAAAAATCTATTTCCCAGCCTATAAGTAACTGACTAGTCTGGTTTTACCAGTCTGGTTTAAGGTTGCTTTAGGTAAAGAAAATTATTTAGTCATTAGTTTTGCTTTTAAGAAGGAACTAAGAGTCATATTCCATATTGGCTCCTAGGCTAGTCTTCAGCTGAAAATATCCTGCCTCCTATTCAGTAGAACAGAAAAGAATGCTACCTTTTTGTTGTCTAAAAGAAAGAGACATTTGTTGGTAAGGAGATTGTTGAATACCAACAATTCAGCTTAGAAAGAGAGTTTACCCTTCGGGCTTTCAAGCTTTTATAGTTTGATGAAAACTTGGGGAAAAAAAGTCACAAAAATCCAACAGACATTTGTATTGTAAGATGAGAATAGCCAAAGCAGTATATTGTTTTTTCTACACATGCAGTGCTTTTATTTGTCTTTTATTTCCATTTCAGATAAATAAACAAGAGCTTGAAAAATAAAATATAATAACTTTATAGCATAGGTTCTTTTTCTTGTGCCTGGAGTGGTAATTACTCTGTTTTCCTTTAAAAATAGTGGAAATGCAGAAGATAAATTTATAGATAAATAAATAACAGTTAAAAAGGATAACAGCAGTTCTAGTTAGTAACGTGAGAAGTTTTCTGATGGGAAATTACTTTGTACTTCAGTTGCACTTATGTGATAAAATATGTCTATTTTATAGAGTTCTTCCAAAAATCAAACCTCTCTACTCGGAGAACCGCCTAAGGAAATACACCTTAGCACAAATCCCTACTTGAACTTGGCAAGTGTCCTGCCTTCTGTGTGTCTTTCAGGTAAGCAAGGGAGTGGCCAAAGAGATTATAATACTTGCAGATAATACACTTTATATTGTTGGGTATTAATTAAATCTGGAAGTTGCCTTTAAATAAGAGTTTATAATACAGAGATCATCTGTTGCTGCTGCTGCTGATTATGATACAATCCACTGCAGGATGAAGGTCTCTTCATTGAAGGTTATGGACCATAATCTACCATGCACGTCTAGTGTGGGTTTGCAAGATAGGGCTGAGAGAGTGTGGCTGGCCCTAAGTCCTTTAAATTAGGCTAAATGGTGGATTATTTTATTTTGTTTCAAAAGAATAGCTCTATACCTTTCTTTCGTTGTAAATTTATTTAATATTGTACCGTGTGCATGTAGAAATTGTGTATCCCTCTAAGGGCTCTTGGGGGCAGCAAAGGGATTTAAAAGTACTTATAATTTATTATTGTTGTTGTTATTATATAATGGATAAATGTAAATGATAATGTCTTATTCTTTTAGGAGCAGTCACCAACAAAGCCAATAATACTAAGCCGCAATCTGTAGTTTCAAGTAACTCAGTCAACAGTGCAAGTGCTCAGGGAAACACATCACAGCAAGCAGTGGAAAACTCTTTTAACTATTCACGACAGTATAGTGATTACACACAGGTATGCGAGAAATGTATAATGTCACTGCAGCTGATAACTGTGTACCCTTCTTATGAAAGCATTGCTGAGTTCTCTAGACTGCTGATAATTGAGAACCATAAATCAGCAAGATTTACAGAACAAGTCAGATTTCCAGTGGTAAGAACTGGAATGCAAATAAATAGTGATATCGCTGTCCTGGGAAAAAACCTTAACCATATGATACTAATATTCAAAAGAGTACTGATAGTGAACTCATGTGAATAAGAAATTAAATGACCTGCAAAATACAAGTCATACTTGGTATAGTGTGACAACTTTCTTTTAGTTGTCATTGTTAATTCTTTTAGTTGTCAAAGTTTCTTTTAGTTGTTTCTTTTAGCAGTTTAGTTGTTCTAGCTGTTAACTTAACTGCACCTTTCTGTAGGTAATATAGGGGAAGAAGTAAAGTGTACAATTCATTAATACAGATTCAGAATCCCATTGCCAACAGCTATAAGAAACTCTGTTGTATGATGCAGAAGCCCAGAGAGGCAGATGGTCCTCAACTGATGTGGGGCTACTGTTAGCACCCTTGGAATCAGCTCCAGAGCTACAACCATAATTGCTTCTACAAGAACTTTCTATCACTGATGTGTGGTATAGCTGTGGCATGCATAAGAACCATGAACGGCATTGGTGAAACGAGCTGATTCAGCAGGATGATTATTTGAAATTATATTTTTCAAATTCCCAAGAGGAACCCAGGGAAGGCTCACCCTTATTTAATCTAGGCCACAGATTCCAGATTCTGAATATTTTAAATTTGTTGGGAAGCCTTCTCCTTTAGCCTATGAGCTATCCAACATTCCCGAATCAACTCTCAAATACACAACAGGGATTTATGTGACTTAATTAAAAAAGCACCCAATACAGATTATGTAAAGTAAGTCACAACACGCTGCTTAAAAAAAAAAACTTGGGTATAATAAATCAAATAGAACATTGTAGATTGTAAGGCCAATCTAATACAAGTTAAAAATAGGCATAACATTAACCATAAAAATAGATCAAGTAAACTCTTCCTTAATGGGACCACATGGGACCACTTGTACTACACTGTACTGTAAATTGAAGTTAGTACTCTCTATTTACCAAAGCACCTATAGGATAACGGTGCTAGGCAAAAAATGGCCTATGTACAACTTCTGAGAAAAATAACCTGGCAGTCTTGAAAGTTATGTTGGAAGTTTGATACCATTCAGCAAAAAATACTACTTTGTGGTTAGTGTTCGATTATGTATTAATTTATATGCAATGTAATGTAAATATTGCTGATTGTTTTAAATGAAATGAGATTGAAGTTACGAAAATTGGGGTTGCTGGTTTATGAACCTTGTACTCTTTTATTGGCGAGCAATTGGCAAAATAATCATGAAAAATGACAGAAAATTTTAAAAAATGGCTTTGCCTTTTGTAGGATCCAGTCCCGCCGTGGTATCAGCAGTATGCTCAGGCTTATCATACCATTCAAACTAAAGTAGGAGACTTAGAAAACAGTGGCTCAGATGTAAGTTAGTTTCATTTGTTTATTTATTTAGTTGTTGGGATTTATATCCTGCTTTTCATTCAGGGGCTGAAGATGGTGCTTCTTTTCATAACGAGTCTGAATGGTTATATTATTATTGTATGTGTTCTCTTCAGTGTGTTTGACTCCGAATTTATTTCTAGCACACGAAAGTAAATGACAGATCTTGAATACAACCCAGAAACATATTATTTATCATTTTGCATTGACTTTTTACTTGATTGTAAAATTCTTTCAGCATCCCAAGGGTATCTGTGTGCTGAGAAATGCCAGTTTGCAAATTTGGTGACTTTTTGCTGACTCGAATGTTTAGAATAAAGAAAAAAAATGAGAGACTACTTCAACCTTATGTCTCATGGAATCCTGAATTTCCCTGTTAGTAGGATTTTGTGTGCAGATAATGCGTTAATGAAATGTATATAAGTAAGGATTTGTCAACTATAGGACCTTTCTTTTAAAAATTAGATATAGCTTTGTTATTTTCATTCTCTGATTTTACATAAGTTCAAAGAAACGGCCCATTGGGTTTTTTTTCTTCCTATTACAACTAAATTCATGTGAGCTAAATGTTCCACAGGAGTGGGTAAATGGTAAAGCAGCAGGAGAAATTTGGATCTAGCAGATCCATGTCCCTTGCCTCACTTCCAACCTGCTTCTCTTTGGGTGTTAGGAAATAGTTCAGAGCTGGCTTCAGAATTCAGTGGGGAGGCAGGAGTAAAAACTGCTGGTGCGCTGCTCCTCCAAACTTCATAATTTTCACTCTAGTCTTAGAGAAAGAAATTTAATTCAAGTATTTCTAGAGGAACTTTTTCCCAGTGGGTAAGGTGGGAAGCAAAGCTGTGTACTATTATAATTTGTGTATAGATAACACTCCAAGTTGCAAACTCGAGTTTCATACTGGAGTCTTTCCTAACCCTGCCTAGAGAATCAAGGAATTAAATCTCTCTCTTTCTTCTGTGAAGCAGCAGCAGCTCAGCCCTGGGCAACATTTCCCATCATCTTGTAAGGGATTGTGTAGAGCAGGATTTCTCAACCTTGACAGCTTTAAGACATGTGGACTTCAACTCCCAGAACGCCACATGTCTTAAAGTTGTCAAGGTTGAGAAACCCTGGTGTAGAGAGTAGCAGTAGAGTCTCCGGGGAATGTCTTTTGCAGTGGGGATGGGATGAAATGGACTCGTCCAGAGTTTGAGCTAATTCTACTTCCATGATGTGGATCAGGGATCAGACATCAGGCACCAGTTAGCAGCTTATCTGCCAATTTTGCATGACTTGCAGCTTCTAGAAATTCAGCACTAATCCTTTGCAGGATGAATTGAAATACCAAAGTCATGGTGTAATTAAGGCATGAACAGGAGATTCCTAGTGAAGCTTGTTGCAACAGATTCCTGGAAAAGCTTTGCTTTTAGAGATTACATCTATTTCTGTCACCTAGATTTTATTATTTTATATTGTGGTTTTTCTAAGGGAATTTAAGGCAGTGCCTATGTAGCTATTTTATCTTCACAACAGTGCTCTAACATAAACCGGGCTATAGCAATGGGGGCAAAGTTATCTAGTGAGCTTTACGATCAAGAGGAACTCAGACTTCAATCTCCTCTGTCATTCTTTAAGTACTTCTCTTTCTGAAAATTATGTTATGACCATTAATTTCTTGCGATAATTTCTGAATTAGTTATCGGCTTCCAAACACATAACAATATATATATATTTTTTATGTTTTGTTCTGTAGGAATCTAATAGAGGAGTTTATGGTGATTATAATACCTATTTACAGGTTATGCCTTCATACTATGCTGCAGCCCAAGGATTCTTCCATCCAAGCGTCTTGCCGTTTACACCTCAAAACCCCCTGAAGGTAAGAAATATTTCTGATGCAGTCTAAAATTATTGAATGCATCAAAGATAGCCAACGTTGCAACATTTAGGTAGCTACAATTTTTCCAAGTCCTTTAGCACTGCATCATGTTGAGATGTATTGAAGGATAAGTAGGGCAGAGTTTAATAAAATCTGCTGTAATTCATTTTCTTCATTACTATAAAACATAAGATCCTACATTTTGAACAGTTGTGTATTCTCAGTTGAGACCTTGTGCTACCATCAAGAGTTCTGAGAAAATATAGTGCTATTTAGAGTTGCTGTGAAAGCTATTTGTCTTCATTATTTTGGTAATGGAACATTTTCAGATTAACCATGAAATTGGAATCAACATAGGTCGTCCGTGGTCAGAAAAATCCTACATCAGTTTCACCTACCTCATCTAGTTCTGCTCTAAAGAACTGGCAGATCCTTCAGAGCCAATATAGTGGGAGGGCAGCATTGGAAGCTGCAGGTAGTGGGAAAATACTAGAGTTAGATCCCATTTCCAGCAGAAGGAATTTAACGCAACTCCATCCAGGAATACATAACTCAGGGGATAAAGCTCCGGAACCAACCATTTATGTCTGTTTAGATTAATTCCTTATGTAAATCATGGTTAAAGAGTTTATTGAATGCCAAATTCAACATTCTTTAAGTGCTGCACATTGTTATAATAACCGACATTTTATAATCCTTAGATGACTCCAGTAAAAAATGAGAAGAGGAGCTCTTCATACCTCGTCACAAATCCAGAAGACAGCCCAGTGGAATATGTTGGCCCACATACTCAGGGCTCGGGAGTGCATTATACAGAATTGTACCTTAAAAGAAAACGTGTCTATTAAGATTTCTATCTAATCTGAAATCAAAGTCACTTTTTGTGGCATTCTTGTCACCATTATCTTTTAATATATATTGTAGATGATCAATGCAATAGTATTGCAGAAATTAGTTTTTATAAGGAAACTTGGTATGGGAAAGACCCTCTCTTCTTCCAGACTAATTTTTGTTTGTTTGTTTGGGATAACAGTAATATGTTTTAAAGGAATAGCAATGTTATGGTTTGACAAGTTCTTTCAAAGCAGTGAAATAACAGAACTTTCCTACTAGCTTGTTGAGAAGTTGCAATGATACCCTTAAAAAGCAATGATCCTGGTCAGCGATATTACAAGAAACCTCTTTGAGGACTTAAGGTTCTTGATTGCAGAGTATTCATTATTGATTCTATCTTGTTTCACAGTAATAATAATACACCATTATTGAGATGATTGGGTTTAGACTGAATACAACATTCAAATGTAAATAAAATTAGGCAACTCTTCTAGCAGCAGGCTAGGAAAATGTCAATATACACGTCTTGTTGATAACAACATTGCTGAAGTATAAAGCTGGTAATATAAGTACGTGTGACAAAGTTTCTGTGGAAATGAAGGACTGATACTAGTCTTGCATTTGTAGATGGTGGCCTTTAGGGCTATAAGTTCTAAATCTAGAGGCAATATTTAAATATATTTTCAACATTGGTGTGTGTGAATATATATTTAATATCCAGTTGGAGCTGAATTTATTACAGTCACTTGCATTTAACTTGAATGTGGTTTCCAGATTGTATTTACAGACACCTGATTTATCTCACTTCCAACTTGGAAACTTTTTTGTCGCACTTTATTATTTTTGACAATTTGTAGAGATGCTCACCACAAGTAATACTTTATACATACATGAAATGCTTCTGTTGATATCCTAGCTCTTATTTCTAACCGGTCTACTTTTCTTGTGAGTGAAAGTGTGTTTGAAACAGGCTATTTACCATTGTGTGCTCGATTGTAATATGGCTTTACCCATAAAAAACTAAGTGTATTTAAGTCTGGTTGAAACGTTATCAGGGTTTTGTCACTGTGTTCAATGGCAGCTTAACTGCAAGAAGGCAGCTATTCTGTAGAATTAGACCTAAAAGTCATCCTTGACACTAAGCAATGGGTTTTGACCAATGTGCTTTTGGGTGGTCTGGGGGAAGGAAGCCACTTTTGGCAGCCTTTACAAGTAGTCCCAAGTTTAAGAACAAGTTCTGTTCCCAAGGTCTGTCCTTAAGTCAAATTTGTATGTAAGCAGAACAGTATTATTGTATAATACTGTATAAGTAGTATCGTGTAATGAACTCGAACCATTGTGTATTTAACTCAAATCATTGTGTATTTAACTCAGATTTTGCTACAGTAGGTTCTGTTCTTAACTATGAGTCGTCCTTAAACCAGGTGTTCTTAACCCAAAGACTACCCGTATAGTGCAATCTTAGTTGGACCCGCCTTGTTTATGTATTGGTCTCATTTCATTTCCATTACTTTTGGACCAGTCAAGCTCTTCATAAATAAACTGGCAAGTTAATGTTCTTACAAGCCTATATGGCTAGCTTATTCCACCTTGTTAATATTGAAAGAGGTTAAATCAGCTGAAGAAGGAAAAGGGAGAGAGGCACAATGCACAAATTTGGCAACCAATCAAATCTTTTTTTCTGCAATAGTGTTATGTCTTCGGAAATTTAGGATATAAGCAATTACGATAAAGTCCTACTGCAGGATTGTATCTTTACCAAGTTAGTTCTTTAGATGGTTTACAAACCACCCCTCCCTAATGTATGCCTATAGTAGAGAGTAGAAGGGAGCAACCACCTGACTGGCTTAATATAAATCTGTATCTAGGCCTTTGTCCACAACCTTAATGTTATAGCTCTATTAATATATCACAATAGCATGAATTCATAATTACCTCTGTCCATGCCCTGAAATTGCAACTTTCTACACATATGTAAGATGTGAATGGGAAAAAAGTAGAAATGCAATAAATTGTATTAGTGTCTTCTTCCTTTACCCATACCACCTCAAATGATGACTACTCTTCCTTGGTTTAACCCTGAGCAGCTGTATAAAAGGCTTCATTATATAGATTATGGGAGGTGGTGGTCAGCGCAGAGGTCTTGTGTTGGAACTAGACCGAATTTCCAGTATGTATCCAGTAGTAGACCAAACATTTAATATCCAGCAGTTCTTTATGAAATAGTAGAAGGAACAGAGCAATAATCACCCCTACTTGTATATCCATCTGTATCTACATATATTTACATGCAGATTTTGAACTGATTCAGTATCATGTAGAGGCAAAAATAATCCAAATGAGTGAGATGGACTTATTAAATAAATGAAAAACCATATAAATATGTCATATACAACTTCTCTATAGTGCCTCCAATGCTTTGGAACATACGTCCCCAAGAAGTACATGTAGCACCCTTTCCCCATAGCTTCTATGAAGGTTTTTTGTTTTGTTTTTTAATCCTACGGTGGCTTTGGCATAATCATGTATTTAAGTCTGGTTGAAATGTTATCAGGGTTGTGTCATTGAGTTCAATGGCAGCTTAACTGCAACAGGCAGCTATTCTGTAGAATTAGACCTAAAAGTCATCCTTGACACTAACCAATGGGTTTTGACCAATGTGCTTTTGGGTGGTCTGGGGGAAGGAAGCCACTTTTGGTAGCCTTTACAAGTAGTCCCAAGTTTAAGAACAAATTCCCAAGGTCTGTCCTTAAGCCGAATTTGTATGTAAGCCAGAACATACAAATTTGACTTTCCAAGGCATTCAACTTGGTATGTATAAATAGTTGTACAGTAAATGTTTTTGTACTGTATTGCAAATAAATCAATAAAATGGAATAGGGAAATAAAATAGGGAAAATGGACATGAACACGACAAAACACAAAAATGGCCATCTGAAATGGATCAGACAATCACTTCAAAGCATGCTAAGTACAGGCTTGAGCACACAGCCCTTTTTTAGAACATTTTTTAAAAATGGATAAACATTCCTGGATAAAATCAGGGTTTTTTTTTTTAATAAAGAATAACAAAGTGCATATAGAATATTTATAGATTACAGAAAAGAACAGGCAATTTGAAAGATGGGTTAGGGTTAAAATTACATTTTACATTATTGCAAATTCTGAATTATTTTGCAAATGCATTATTTTATTTTAGGAAAGAATAGCTTCCCTTTAAAGAATGCCCCTAATTTTTTTAACCTAAAAAGACTAGTGAATTGACATAGGAAAAGGACAATCTGGTAAATCAAGCAATATGGCTCCATTCCACATATATGCATATTGCCATTTTCCTCCAACTCAAAAAATAGAAGGGACAAGTATTATTTAGATTCAATGGATTAGGTCAAGTCTACTTAGAAATGACCAATGAAATCAAGAGGCATTCTTTAACTGTGATTAAACCTGGATCCAGCTCAAGGTCTTTCCTAACCTGTAAAGTTCTGACTACTATATCCTTTATAAACTGCAGGTATAATACATACATTATTGTTGAAGTTATATTTTATCTCTGGCAACATCCTCAATGCAGTGAGGGCATTGCAGTTCAAAATAAAGATACACACAGATCACTTCTTGTGGCTAGCTGCTTAGTCTGTTGATCTGCTATACGACGTTTACTGAAAATATTATCAGGCATGTGTCACTTCAGTATTGACATAATGCTCTTCCATTTACCTATTTTCCTCACATATAAAAGATGGGTGTATAAAAATCCTGCATTCCAGCATAAGAATCAGAATACCCACTGTATGAAAAAAAAATGGAGTTATTTGAGTATTTTATTTAGAAACTTCCCTTGATAATAAAAGGAGCAACCATTGGCATTTGGCCATGGCCCAAAAGCCCTAATCCAACATTCTCCTCCAAACCAAGAATGACAAATTTAGATGGACCATTTCAAGCAAATCTTTTCCTCAGCTTTCCATTTAAAGGGAAGTAAATAAATGAAAGCATCAACAATGTCCTAGGATGAATGACTAGAGGAAGCCTCTGCTCTATACATGTGATGGGGGCTGGGTGGCACCGAGCATACAGGAAACAAGTTTACAAATACACAATATACAAAAAGAAACAGGCTGGGATCTAAAGAACTGATGATTTCCCCAACAGTATGCTTTATAGTGATTTCTTCCATTTTATTCTTATGAACAGCAAGTGTCCATAATACAATATAAACATTTTCACTTTAAAATGATTTCAAAAATATTCTACTCAGTTACATGGGATAGCTGAGTTTGAGGAGTACAGATCCAATCCTTCTCAATGAATAGGAATATTTGTGTGGCTCTTCCAGCAAAAAAAAGCATTAGCATTTTTGCATAATATACGTTTTTAAAGGCGTTCATGAAGAAGTAATATAATAGGCTGCATACCTTAAGGCCTGAATCATTATTCTGACAAAACTACTGCTTCCTTTTAAAAATTTTGATAACATTCAAATGTTACGTAGACCAATTTTATTTTCACCAGTCAGAACCTAGATGATTGAAATACAACAGTTCTGGCCATCCCACAGATGTTGACTGCCAAGTGCTCAATGCTTTTACTGCTTGGGGTGACTGAGTAGCAAAGTCTTGTTTCCAAGCAAAAAAGAATTAATAGGGTGAATTGCAAAATTACAAAATGTAGCAATAGGCATTATCTTTTGAACTATTTAACGATAACAATATAAAAATGTTAGATTATAACTTCTTTATAAGTGCTTCAAAGCCTTGAATCAGATTGTGAAAAGTTGTCCTCTCACCAGGGTCCTGTTCCCAACACTTTCTCATCAGTTGGTTAACCTAGAAAATAAAAGGGACATGGGTCCTTACCAGGAAATTTGCTTTCTGATGCTGTGACAGCATACAAAACACACTTTTACATCCTATACTAGCTCAAGAGGCAGGAAATCCCGTGACTGACGTTTGCTTCTTTTCTCCCTAATGGAGTTTGTTTCTATAACTATCTCAAGGGAACCCATTTAAGAGACTCTTATGCTTAAGTGTGCTGTAATTCGTAAGGATATTGGAATATGCTAAAATTGCTACAATACAGTACTACATGCTTCGTTCCAGTGGTCCATGCTAGATGAAGAAATTGAAAAAAAATGAAGAGACCACCTGAAGGAAGGCATGGAGCAGATGAATGTTTGGACTGCTGGCAATACCCAGTTTGTAACAAGGAGGTAGGGAGAAAGGGAAAGTAAAATGTAGGGTCTGGGCAAAGATTCATTCCGTCTTAGTGAAAAATGCAAGTATATTTACTGGCTGAGAGAGCATTAATTTTTGAGACTAGATTTAAAGAATATGGCAGCTAAGAAGCTACCTAAGGTAGTACAATTCTGGGATGTAGTCTTTAGTAGCTCAAATGGAGTCCTTTGCAGGGCTCACAGAACCCCATGGAATCCACAGCTTGTCAGGCTAAGTCTGGGTTCAGTTGGTGAAGTGACAAGAATGATGAATCTTTTAAGATGAGATGTTATCTACTAGAAGGATGCCAATTTACACAAGACTGTATGTGTCATCTATTAAGCGTGTTAGGTTTTAGATCTGTTAATACGTCTTCTCAAAGGAGGACAATTTCTTTGCAATCTTTTGTGGGAAGATTTACTTTCTTTCACAGCATCAGGCAAAGGCATTTCAGGTAGCCTTAGAAGCACTGGTTGATGCTTTCCTGAGGGCAGACCGTTTCTAGCTTTCAGGATGAGATTTGATTCTTCCTTGTTTTGAAGGCCTTTGGTGTAGAGGTGTTCTGGTCAACACATGATCTTGTGAAATGAGATGAATCATGGATTCTAAGCTAAGTCGGACTACAAAATTTGAGTGGTGCTATGTTAAGTTTCCTTTGAATTCCAATCACATAGCCTCACAGTGTATCACAGTCCCCTTTGAATGTCCTATCTTGGTGTGGGTTCAGCCACCAACATCTGAAGTACTGCTTGAGATTCCAGTTCAAAGATAGCATGACATTTTTTTTTTGTTACCTTTTTTTAAAAATGAGGTAGGAGAAACCACTGTAGGTCAGTGGAACAGAGACCAGGAAACAATACCTACGCTAAAATCATCAAGCCTGGGGTTATCAGACTCCTTTCTTGTGAGACGCTTCTGGCCTTGGGGCCTCTCTAATTCTTTGAGGTTGCTCTTTTGAAACAAGCCCCATATAACTATCTATAGTTGCTTCTAGATGTTGGATGTGGGGAGATGGTTAGTGGTTGTTATTTCAACAGACACTTAAGTGTTTCATGTAAACTTTGCTGAGCCTTATCTGTTGAAGTTGAGCTAAGGAGGAGGTTATCAAGATAAAGATAAATGACATCCATAAAAAGCCAAATATGTTAACAATAAGGTTGTAATCTTGAGAGAGACCTTTGGGATAGAAGAGAGGCCAGAGGAGAGAATGGGGTACCAAAAATGTTGGTATTTGTAGTAATACCCCCATTCTAAAGAGCTTCTTGAGAAAAATTATGGTTGCCATTCTGAACTTCAGATATATTACAAATCAAGCCCACTGTTGCTCTCCACTGTCTTTTCTTCTTTGGAATGGCAAAGACAGAGTAAACACCAAAGAAATTTTGAGCAAGCGGAACATCTTCTCTGCTTTATGGCTTGGCTAATTGTGTGCTGCTTTGAGTACACTTTGCAGCTGGTAACAGAATGGATTTGCAGCTTGATACTATTTTTTTTTTTAAATCAATTGTCTGATGAGGTTTCCCAAGTGGAAAAAGAATTGGAGAAGACTCCTACCTACCAAAGAAATCATAGCATCAAAAGTTCTGCCTGCCTCCTCTACAGTTAAGGGTGTCTAGCTCTATTCCAAGAAGACCTGTTTTTCTGAAATGAAAAAGAAATCACTAGGGAGGAAAGAACTCTAAGGGTGTTTAAATATTTTCATTCTGTTTTTTTTTTCCCTGAGATGTAACAAAGCTTTAAAGTTGCCCTCAGATTCTGCAAGGGTATCTTTTAAGCCTTCTCATCCAAACAGAAGCCAACCACAAAAAGAAATGGAATGCTAATTTGACTTCAACCTACATCTGTACCTGAGCCATATTCTGTGTTTGCAAAATTTTGTGTCCTTTCACAGTTGGAGGGGAGATGTTCCTCTGACTTCATTGGGTTTTGAAAGGATAATCCAAATCATCCCTGAAGAAACTGAAGGCTTAGAGGAAAGCTGGATGAAGTGAACAAAGTGGAGAGAAGTGTTTCTCCTTTAGGAGCTTTTTCTTCCCCCTTTTGGATAAATAGTTATTTAGATATGAAACCTCCAGAATTATCTTTACCTTGTGCAAGAAGCAAAAGTGTGGCTCTAAGCGAACTGCTCTGTGGAGGCTATCACTGTACTCTGCTGACACAGGGTGGCATAAAATGGCATTGCCACCGGAATGTGTAGCATTAAGCGCCTGGGGTCTGAAAGACCCAGGAGGCAGAGGCTGGCTTCTAGCTCTGAAGAGCTGAGGAAAAAGCGGCAGCTGAGTCTGCAAAACATGGAAGGCAGCTAATACCGATGGGATGGGTGCAGGCAGGCATTGCCTTCATTGGGAGCCTGGGCGGGGCTGGGAAGGAGAATCGCCTTCTTGGGGCTTTCAACTGCTCCAACCCAGAGGACATGCGGCTCTTTGGGTCAATAACTTCCACGCTCGCCGCTGGTAAAACTTGCCCCCTGCCTGGTTTCTAATTGCTACAATCCACAAGCAAATCAGAGGCAGGGGACAAAAAGCCACAGGAACATGAAGAGCTGAGGGTTTGGTTGGATACAGTTCTTTGTAACAATAACAGGCACAGAATTACAACTGGAAGGAGGAATATCGAAGAAAAGTTTAAGCAAATAAGGAATAGGGTAGTTCGGGGGTTTTTTGTTTGTTTGTTTAGGAAGGAAACTAAACTGCTGAAACTTCATTAGGAGGGAGAAGAATAAAAGTCTGCATGATTTCCTGCCTCTTGGATCTGGGAAGAAAGATGAAGCTCACCCAATATGCTTTCTACACCAACTGAGGCCAATGGTCTTAAGCTGGAGGGTTGAATGAAGAGCCATTACCTTCCCCTCAGAGGGCCTCTGACAGTCACAAAAGGGACTCATCTCAATCCATGCTTAGAAAATTATGCGTTTTTTTACTTATACGGGACTTCTTTCAAATGTAATGTTTCGACTTTCAGATTTGGATGAAGCTGTTCCAAAGCAATCAGATTCCTCAGTCTAATCTTTTACATATCTTGCATGTGATTTCTTACAGTGATAACATGATTTGCAGAAGCTGACTGTTGCCATCCTATTTGAGCACTGATGTATTTTTACCCTGTTTAGTTAGTTTTTCTAACTAAAAACACAAAAAAGGAAGGCAGCTCAAGACAGCTAACAACACACACACAAACACACAAAGTTCAGCAGACCAGTGGAATGGAAGTTTCTGTTCTGTACCGAAATGTTTGGGGGGAAATTATCAAGTCTGGAATGCTCAAATATATTATAAATAGGGTATTATTTTCCTCTGAATGTGTTGTCTAAAAAGTAATGAGATGCTGCACATTTGTGATCAATGGATTTAAAAACTGCATTTCATTCCCCCCACACACCCCAAGCCCTGGAGGCTAATCACAACTCAGCCAAAGTTCTGCAGAAGTTCCTGTATTTCTGGTACAGAACAGGGAACAAGGAGTAGATCATTTGTATGATTAATCTGGAAAAGGGGAGGGTTACAGTGAATTGAACCAATACTTCAATTACAGTGAGTGGAGTTGATCCATCCTCACCTTGTGACTATAATTTGAATTTGGGGCAGGTGAGGGGTTTTCCTATGGCCAAGGGAAGGAACTTTCAGAGAGCATATAAAAACGGACTGTCCTCATTGAATTTGAATCTGTGAATTTGAATTCCTTCAATGATCTGTGCCTGAGGGAACCTTACAAATTAGCCTGAGATTTGCACAAATCTGCCAAGGTTAGTGCTCAAACATTCTAATGCACAGTTAAAAATGCTTTAAAATCAGAGGTTCTTTTATAAAAGAAACAAAGATGAAAACATTCTTACCTCTTCAGGACAGTTTTTAGGACAAGGCAACCGTTTCCCATCTGCTAATATGCGTACTAGCCGTGTGACTGTCATCTGGCCTTGAGTTGGGCCAATCATATTCAAGAATTCCTGTACGTTACAAAAACATACACTAAATATCCTTCCTCCTGATGAGAGATCCAATTTACTGATAAGATGGGCATTAATGAAGCTGGTGATGATGATCTTAAGAAATGTAGCAAGACTTTATGTTGACAACCTCTTGGATGCTGTTCCTTCCCCCCAATAAATTGAAAAATATAATACAATCACAAATATCAGCTGGGCTTAAAATGTCTAGAACAGCAAAGGGTTATTTGGACAATTCAAACTATTAAGTTCAAACATTAAAACATTTGCTGGATAAAGAAAGATTTCCAGAAAAATGCCCAGCATGTTAATGCCCTTTTTTAATCTAACATTTCTTTTTAAGAAATTATGGGCAATGCAACAGCTCAGAAACTGCCAGCAGGCAAGAACCTCCTGTGGGATCATGAGCATTACATTAGGAAAAACATTTTCTTTTACTGCTACTTACTGCCATTGGACTACACTCAGAATCACAGTAAGTCAAAAGTTCATAGAGGGTCACTCCAAAAGACCAAACGTCTGACGCAATATAGAATTTGCTCTGTAATAGGCATTCAGGAGCATACCTGTAAAGGTAGGAGGTTTATTACTTATTATTATTGTAAATGACATTATTTAAAACTGTTGCCCAATATTGGTAGCCAATTTATACTGGGAAATATTTCAATTCTGGGCTGCAGTGATAATGTCATCCCAACATGCACTATTAATTGACCCCAGAACAAAGGGCTGAAGGACAAATTGAAAATAAGCAATTGTTACAGCAGAAAAGAAAAAAAATGTTTTTAGGAGATGACACTAAGGGCCAATTCACAGGTTTCTATAAACAATTTCTATGCTTACAGTAGGGTAGGCACTTTGATGCTCTTCCAACAGCCCTGGCACCATTATCACTTTCAAAGTTGACTTTGTAGTCCAAAGCATTTTGAGAGCCCTAGTTGCTTACTTCCATCTAAACATTAATGGAAGCAAATGCTATGCCCATATTTGTACTGATGTCCATGTAAGCAATTTCCTATCAGAGTGAGACTGAAATAGATGATATCATAATCTATTAGGCCCAACCCACCTAATTCATTCAACTGATTCTAGCCAATCACTCCTTCCAATGAAAAGGGAGGATACTTTTCCTGCCTACTCTACTCCATTCTCAGGAACTTTTCAATGACTGACTACAGAATAGCATGGAGGTATGACTGGACCAGGAAGCCTAGGATTATACATCAGAATAGTCCACAGTGACTCACAGGGGGTTCATTCACTTTAAGCCAATACATTCCTTGAAAGAAAAAAATTGCTTAGGTTCCTAATGGCCATCTCTTACCAGAATACAGGGCTGTCTCGATCATCATTCACTTTGTAGTATTCCTTATCCGTTTCAATGGCTTTAGTCAGTCCAAAGTCCCCAATCTTTACCCTCTGCTCATTTTCAACTAGAACGTTCCTTGCTGCTAAGTCTCGATGAACATACTGTCGAGATCCCAGATAATCCATTCCCTGAATGAAAAAAACAGACATTTGAAGTCAATTTCATTTTCCACTGACTACAGACTTTGGTTTCCACCAACCACTTAGAACATTTTCTTTAAAGGGTTTTCTTTAAAGGATTATGCCAAATCCCTTTGTTTCATTAGTTGGACTGCCTGAAGAATAAAAAGCTGAGAGCTGAGAAAAGGTAAAGGGCCAGGTCACAAAATCAGTATTCTATATTTAGCCTATCATTAACATTAAGCATCTTGGAAGGAATCAGAAGCAGACTCTTTTCTGTGATAGCCGCCTACTTACACAAATACTTCTCTCCATAACTTTACAGCCTCTTACTCTTGTGGGCTTTTGACAGTCCCTAAAACTGGTTTTCCTCTAACCCAGCCTTTTATTAATCTTACTGTTGCCTACAGATATGGTTTCATGTAATACTGTCTTCATGGTTCTTTAATTTGATTTATTTTTTAAAAGATTACACTGTAAACTGCCTCATGGGGACTTACCCTAAACAAAGAAATACACTAAATATACATTCTTCAAGAAACTAAGGTGTTATTTATGAATAATTATTTCAAACACCTACTGAATATGCTAACTGAAATTAAAATGTCTTGGTGTCTGCTATTAAATACACTAAAGTATACATTTACCTTGCAGATTTGTACAGCGTATTTCAGTTGTTGTTTCAGGAAGATCTTAGTTTTGTTTCGAGGGAGATAGTCTTTCAGGCTCCCAGAAGGAAGAAACTCCATGATAAGCTTAATTCCGTTACCACCTTTTATTTAAAACAGACACACACACACACAAATTATCTCAACCGAGTATAGGAATTAATACCTCTGCCTAGTTTAAATGTTCTTCTTGATGTTCTGTCATGCAATCTTTCATATTTCTTTCATTTAATTTAGTTAATCAATCTATTAGACATCTCAGTTGCCAAAGCAACTCCAGGTGGTGTACAAGATAATAAATAGTTAAAATAGGACAGAAGTATCCATTAAGATTTCAGATAAAGGAACGTATAACACATTCACTAGACAGAAGAAAATGCTTGTTTACCACATTTTCCAATCGCCACTTTAAACAACTGAAGGGATGATGCCCAAGAAAATATGTGACGAATAGGTCCTGAATCAAATGTTGCATATTATGTTTTCAATCATGAAGCTCTCTTCTACATATTGTGGAGGGATGGGTAATGGAACTTAATTTTCTGTGAAACTTGAAGTAGCCCTGAGACAACAATAATTTCCTGAATAATCTAGTACATGAAATTTCAGGTACAATTAGTATTTCTGGGCACTATTAAAAGAGAATTCTTGAGCATAACGGAAACTTGGTACTAGTATTCAGTATAATCACAGCTGTAGCTTAAATTACAGAAGTAACAACGACAGGGATTCTTGTCATTGCAACAGAATATGAATTTTGTAGTGAAACAGGTATCATTTACTGAAAATAATATATTTTAACTGAGCCACTGGCTAAACTGAAATGGAAGGAGGATTTCTCTCATCAATAGTTAGGTCATCCTTTTATTTGGGAAAGGAACATCATATAAAAAAAACAATTAATTTAAAAGCCTGGAAGAAGGAAATAAATAATTTCCAGACATTACCATCTTCAGTGCAGATTCCTTTGTATTTCACAATGTTTTCATGATAAAGATTCCTTAGAATTTCAATTTCCTTCTTAAGGTCAGCAATGTGATTCCCACCGCAATCAGGTTTCAGTGACTTTACAGCTACTTGTTCTCCTGTATTATCACCTTCAGGGTCATACCTGCAGAGTTCAACTTTGCCAAAATGGCCCTGATTTCAAAAGGGAAAATAAGTATTGATCTGAAATATATTTTGTGTCCTTCTATTCAAGACAATGTGCAAGTTAACATATCAATAGTGCATAAATAGCCTTTAAAACAGTCATGTAGAAACTACCCCCCCCCACATCTTTATTCCATGTGGATGTAGCAACCTTAAAAAGCCCTATCCTTTCTGGTTTTCCACTTAATAAATCCTCCTGGCTATTTCATACCATGGTTTATAGTCACAAAACTGCTTTGCAACATAACTGTTTCCTTATTTACCAATATGAGATGGCAGGACATTCAGAGAGTTTTGAGCCCTGCACACCTCTCTCTAACAGGCAGGTTGTGCCCTTTCCTGGATCGGCAGGCTCTGCTCACAGTCACCCATGCCCTAGTCACCTCCAGATCGGACTACAGCAATGCACTTTACATGGGGCTGCTCTTGAAGAGTGTCCAGAAGCTTCAACTGGCGCAGAATGCAGCATCACAGGCAGTTATGTGTGCTCCCAGAAGAGCACATATTACACTTCTGCTCTGTGAGCGGCATTGGCTGCCAGTCTGCTTCTGGGTCCAATTCAAGGTGCTGGTTTTAAACTTTAAAGCCTTCATGGCATGGGACCAGGTTATCTGAGGGACACCCCTCCCCAATTACAACAGCCTGTCCCGTTAGATCTGGCAGAGAAGGCATATTGTGGGTACCATCTGCCAGGGACCTACACTTGGTGGGTCCCAGGAGGCAGGCCTTCTCTGCTGTGGCACCTGCCCTATGGAACATTCTCCCCCCGCCCTCCGAAGTCAGGTTAGCTCCATCCCTGCTATCATTTCAGAAGTTCCTCAAGACCTGGGTATGTCACCAGGCCTGGGGATCCCAGGGAACCAGAGATATTCTTAGATGGCTCCACTATGGTTGATCTTTTTACTCTCTCCACGTGGTTTGTATATTTAAAATTTTATAGTGGGTTTTTTTTCATTTTTAATGCAACTTTTTATATTTTTATAATGATTGTTTTTTATATATTGTTGTTTTATTGATTGTTGTATGCCACTCAGAGTCGCTTCTTGTGAGATGGATGGCCATATAAATGTGATCAATCAATCAATCATAATACTCTTCTTTGGCCCTCACAAGCCTTCACAAGAACTACTGATATTATTTATAATCACATTTGTCAGAGGGCATATTCCATACTTGGCCCACTCATAAAGATGTAGACAAGTTTACTTCATTTCCACACAAGACTATTCCCCTTTCAGGAAAGACCTTTTGGAAATAGAAGGAGCAAACTATAGTGGACTAATCACAGTAAAAACAAAACATAGCTACGTTTTGTCAAACTACTCTTATAAGCCTAAAGGAAGAAGATTAACATCCTTGCTGTTTGTAATAATACTGTAATAATACCTCGCCTAAATCACGGATCCGCTTCAAGAAACGCTTTTCAAATATTGTAGGATCAATCTCTGCATTAGGCTTCTTCTCTGAGACAATATCAGGATCTGACAGAGACAGAAATTTCAGCACAACGTAAATAAGTACTCAGACTTTGGATTACAGGTATTAAGACATCCCTACCATACCTCATATGCTGCTAGCTGTGCAGATGTACAACGTTTAGTTTACTGACCCGCTCTATACTCCCAGCCAACCACAGCTGCCATTTTCTCTCATGTGACAGAAAATCATTTTCAGAAGGAAGGCAGCTTCAAGGGGCAATGGAAACAAGGAGTATGAGGCTAGCGATCAGAAGCCACCAGTTCCTACCTGGCCTGGCAGATTAAACTTTGTGTTCTTTTTCCAGAACCGACTAACAGTCTAATTTGTTGCAGCAAGTCAGCAGAATCACAACAAAACTAATATATAAGACCCACTGTGTATTGAGTGTTAGTGTAGTAGGTGCATTTCAATGTTTCAAGCATTGGCAAAAGATACAATAAAGGGGAACAAATGGGGATACTGTACAGTATTCAGGGAAGGGGTCTTGGACATCTTTATTTTTAATTTCTGCAAGTTGCTTCCAGAACTGTTGAAATGTAGATTTTTACTCCATGGCAGATAGAATGCAAGTTATGATATTACCAATCCTTAATATATGGGTCTATTATACTTATACTTGCTGACCCGCAGTACTTTCTCTGCCTCCAAAGAACTTTACAGTAAGGATTTGTTTGTTTGAATCCTGCTGAGATGGTATTTGCACATTTAGTTATGTAGAGGTATTATTTACCAATCATTAGAGGGGAGGGGAGGGGAGGGGAGGGGGAGGAGTCATCCTTACTCTGCTCTTCTAGCTTGTTGATATCCCGCATAATTGCTCTAAAGAACGGCCTCTGACTGGAGTCATAGTGCATGCACTGCTTCATCAGGTCAGCCAGCTCCTTGCACGATGGGGCTGGAAGTGTGAAATGACCTTCATAAAATCTCTCCTTCTGCAAAATGAAATGGAAACAATGGCACTATTCATAGAACTAGGAAATAAACCACTGAATAAAAATTCCACAAAATAAATCTACAAGTAATGTCTTCTGAAGCTTAACTCCTATCAGAGAACTGAAGATTTTTCAAACCCCCATTGTGATTCAGATTCTGATTCCCCAGAAAGCACCGAGTAAAGTCCCCTTCTAAAGTTGCCAGCAAATACTAATTTTTAATGAGATGGAAATTGGACATATTAACTAAATGCCAGTATTGTAACATCTGTTGCACTTGGGGAAAAGTTCACTCAATTCCACTTGTCCTACCAATTTTCTGTGGGAGAACTAAAAGGAGTTTCCAGACTAAAGACAACCAAGAAAAGAGTTTTTTTCTTACTTTGCTAACAAGTCACAAGAAAAGAATGCTTGCTTGGCATTCCCAGAACCTTACCTCTGCTAAGGTCTTATCTTTAAGTGGTACTTCTCCATTGTAGCAAATTTCCCATAAAGTGGTCCCAAAACTCCACTTATCTGCTGCCACACTTAAATTTTTGGAATCTTCCACACATTCTGGAGCCAGCCAAGGAATACGTTCAACACATTCTTAAAGGAAAGAGTGGAAGAAATTTTGGAATGAACTGTTATCTAGTGGTACTCTGACTCTCAGATGGCATACTTTACTCAAAGTCCCTAAACACTGGAGGGCCTCTACTATGGCAAGATTTCATGCCCTCCCCTCAGCTGTCCTTGAAGGCTGATACAGGAAGATTCCTTACCTGGAGAGACAATGCCCATGACTCTGGACACACAGAAACAACAGAGCATGTGCTTCTCCAGTGCCTGTATTATAGAGACATTCATACTAGCCTCATCTCACCATTAGTGCATAAATACCCAGGGCTCACAGGACAATTCTACACCTCCCTGCTGCTTTCAGATACCAACCCTGCTACAGCATGCAATGTCGCCAGGTTCAGAGCAGCAGTGCTTAAAATTAATCATATGATGACCTGTGCCATAAACTAGACTTAATGAGCATCTAATTCGCCATACTAGAGTGCTCTGTAATTTGATAGTCTTCCACATACTAACCTTTATGCTCCCCTACACCCATCTAATGCTCCTAGCCCTCCTTTTAGATTCTTTTAGACTCATTTTTATATATACTTTCTGTTTTAACACATATATTTCTTTATATCTTCTAGCTTTTCATAATTTTTTTTTATTCTGATGTATCTTCTATGCTTTTTAATTGACTATACCCCACCCTTCTTATGCCAGTCTATGACTGTAATAAAGAATTGATGTGGTTATCTAGTAGGGATTAATTAGTGTTTTTTAGAAGAAAGAATTGGTTATATCTCAAACTCTATAAATATACAACCACAAAGCTATCATAGACATATTTATTTCAGAAGAGAAGATGCATAAAACAAAAAGCTCTGTATTTTCACAGTCCTGGCATGTGGGGAGACAAGGCGAAACAGTGATACAAACAAGGATGGTGAGATGTAAGAAAACTGAAGACTTCAAAGAGGACCTCTTAAACTGTAGCAAAATCTTGGATTGTGATAGTACATTGAAAGTACCAACTCCAGAATATCCAATGGCCAACTTGGTGTTAAGAATGACTTTACAGGAGTTGAAAATAAAATGACACACATCATTATACTAAATTTGTCTATGAAGCAGATATATTTGAAGAAACATGTGCAGCATTTATTATCTTTTTATCCCAGTTCTGTCACAGAATTTTTTTGAGAGAGAACAACAGAAAGAATCCAGCAATTGGAACATCTTGGCATGAGGACAAATTATAGATCTGGACTGTTTTTGTCTATCACACACAGAGAAAGAGAGTAGGGTGGGTGAAAGGATGGTGATTTTTTACAACTATCAGCAAATGAAGTTTCCATACTACAAGACATTCCTACTTTTCTAATGAACATGGTCTCTTGATCACATGTCAAATACATTCCAGGGCAGTTGTTGTTATGTCCAAATGAGCTCTCTAAGCTGTGCTGTTTTTCACCACACTCCTCAGTTCTTAATATTCTAAAAGGTTTAATACCCATATGGGTGAATCCCAAGTATCTTACATTATTTGAAATAAAAGAGCATCACTGAAAAAATGTGAGGGAACTTTTTTCTCCTGCCTCTCACTAGACAATGGAGCGCAGCAATATCTGATGAAGTTTATTAGTGATCAGCTCAGAACTAACAAAAAGAGTCACTGAATGTGGAAGCAATACCAGTTCTTCTATTTGGTTACATCAAACATGTTGTAGTCTGGGATGAAGTATGGCCCCATATTTAGAGCAGGTTGCTAGAAAATTTTACCCACCTTCCCGAGTTGGAACATCTCTAAGGTACTGGATTCAACTAATGTCAGCAAGGAATAATAGAGTTAGTTAAGGGTAAAGACTGAATGAGACAGTACTGACATACAGAAGAAATGCGGTGCTAGTATTTTAGTAAAATTAGAGGTTATTTTCTTCAGTATCTTGGTATATATAAGTAGTTTTACCTTGTCTAGATAGCACCGTAACTGGAATTCCTGGGTCACTCAGTTTTATAAAAGGTCCATATTCATTTCCGATTCCTTCTCTTGCTAATAGTATATTTTTTGTGCACACATTTCCATGTACTAAGTTTTTGTCCTCCTGCATTTCAGAGAGATTAATCAGTGTTTCAGCTATGTGTTGAATAGTATGAGACAGCATGAAAAGGTGCTTAAAGAAACAAGTTCACAAAACACATGGCTTGGATCCTAAGAGAAGTTACCTAATCAAAATTCAGAGAAGAAATGTTTCCTGTTTCCTTTTCTCTTCTCCTGATGATTCCAGTGTTCAAGTCTCTATTGAAAGATGGCTGGTGTGGGTCTTCCGGGCTGTGTGGCCGTGGTCTTGAAGTTTTGTTTCCTAACGTTTCGCCAGCACCTGTGACCGGCATCTTCAGAGTGCAGGAGCAGTTCTCTC